AAATAATATTTACTGTAAATAAATGTTAAGTTAATATTACTTTTATAAATAAATATTTATTAAAATTTAGTACCTTTTTCAGTGCATATGTAACTGAAATACATCAGCGTGTATTTACATTCGTATATAAATTTGTATTATCTATTATTATTACTATCTTAGAGAAAGAAAATGTTCCACATCCGCGTGAAAAGTGTCAAAATTTCTTACTTGCTATTTTGCCCGTGGAGTTCCTCGCGAGCTTAAAGGCATTTGCTGTGCTAATGGGATTGGGATTATACGGACCGCTTGGACAATATTTAACCGTGTGTGCCTCATCACCAGTTGCGCCACAGATCGGGCACGTATAAGCCCTATCGAACAAAAATATAATTTTTTCTGTGTATAGAAACACAAGACATTTAATGTGTAAAAAAACAATACCTAAGAAAGAGAAATAAATTTCTAATGTCATGTTTCGTATGAAAATATCAAAGAAAACTTTAAGCGTCGTAAAAAAAGATTTACAGATTATCTGTCGGATAACGCAGGTTTTTTGCTTTTTACTTTTTCGATTAAAATTAAATAAATCTTATTGAAAATTATTTTATACAAGACTATTTAAGAAAATAATTTTTCTTAAGAAATTAAATGAAAAAAAAGGCAAATAGGAAACAAACATGATAATCGTTGCGCGAAATGATTACTGCATCTGACTCCTATTTGTGCTTTTTTCACTTAATTTTTAAACAGTAAGAAGTTCTGTGAATTAATTTATAATTTTTCTTTTTATATTTTAGGCTTTACCTATTTTTTTATGTGATATACTTTTATTTAGATCATTTCATAACGATAACTGTATTTCAATTGTATTATATTCTCGCAATATAATCGCACTTTACATAAACTCTTATTTGAATTATTCGAATATTATAAAAAAAATTATCTTAAGGTGAAAATCGAAATAATCTTTCCTTTTTTGAAATTTATAAAAAAAGAAAATCTCCATAGTCAATTTCCAATATAAATATTAATATAAATATATAGAGTAGTAGTTTTGAGAATATACAGAATATACATAAAATAAAGCTAAAATTCACAGATTATATCTTCGACGTATTCCATGAACAAATATACAATTAGTTAAAATTATAAAAAGAAAAAGATTTTCTTTTTATATATTTATAATACTATACAGTACACTTTATCCGAAAAACATACTGGGACGTACTAAGGAACATCCTTAATGTTGATTCTATAATGAATTGATAGTCGGTAATCCTAAGTCTTAACAGTGAAATTAGCCAACTTGTACGACTGCTGATTGGTCAACTTCACCGAGATTAAAATCTGTTCTACAAGCCATCATATAATATAATAGGCACAATATAAACTATAAGAAATTAATCATAATCAATTATGTTTTTCATATTTAATTGTAATTGAAATTTAACTAATTTCTTACGGCTTACAATCCTATTGTAGAATAGGCGTAAAAGGCTGATATTCATAATCGGTTCTTACTTTAAGACTAGATAATATCTTAAGATGCTAATACGACTTTCTGATTGGTTTGACATCTTAAAATTACTTAAGACAACCTCAAATAAGAATCAATTATGAATATCGGTTTAAGATTTCCGATTACCGATTTATTGTAAATCAGCATAAGACATTCAGAAGATATAAAAATATCTTCTAAAGACCATTAGAACGTCCATTGGAGATTTATATTGTATGAGTAAAGCACATCTATGACGCATAGACTATGGTGTGTGATCCATGATCCACGGCTCATTATGCATGACTCATTATTTTGTAAATTCTAAGATACAAGACCTATACTAAAAACAGGGCTCGAGATTTACTTAATCAAAAAATATTTTACTATTATATATTTTGGAAAGCTTTTGATATCGGCTATTAGATTCTAGAATAAAAAGTAGGATGTTTCATTTAAAAAATCGATGTGATCTTGATCTGACCTTGGAAAAGCACCCAAGGTCAAACTGATATGATTAATAAATAGATCTTTTTAAACTCTACAACTTTAGTCTGAACATATTTTTGATTGGATCTTATCCTACAGAGATAAAAAGGGTGATCTGAGACACCCTTTTAAAGCATTAATTTTCTTCTCATAGAAACTCTAACAATTTTTTCAGAATTTTTTATCAACTTTTAATACTGCATTTTCTTATTTTTATCCATGAGAAAATACGATATTAAAAAATTCTCAGAATTTTATAAGAAGAAAATAAACAATTTTTACCTCTTGCTGTTTTTCTGTAAAGTTGATAGTGTTTGAGTAAAAAAATTATTGAAAACCAATACTTAGCGATTTTTAGTAATTAATGTCTCATTAACCATTGCAAAAATTGTAAAATGGTAGAGGACTTTTTCGACTCAGTTTAGTCCGCTCTATCTACATAAAAGCGATTGGCAAAACTTACGACACTCTGTATATGTCTATATTTTATACATATTTTCTACATATTTTATTTTTATAATAGTCACCCCATAGATATTTTTTGTAATTAGATATTCTGGTATAGACGTCTACATATTTTAGTAGAAAATATGAAAAATAAAATTAATTAGCGTAAAGAATTTGTTTAATTTTGCCTCTTCGTTTGTACTAAATCATTCGTAGATCTAATATTATGCTTCGCGTTAGTTATAGTCACGAAACTAATTGTCATAGATACTTAGATTTTCAATATTTACCTGAGAACAGGACATTCAACGCGTCCATCGACGTCTTTCAGCAAGTGCTGCCGATAGTACGTTTCCTCTTCCCCGTTGTTTCTGCAGAAAACGCACTCTGTTGGCAAGGGTTTTTTATTTTTCTTTCGCCGTGACGCACTCTGTTTTGACACGTCTGCATCCACATCTGGACAATATTCGAAGTCACGACCATTGTGCCGAAAATCTTCCATTACCTCGTCAACTGTAATAAAACATAAACGAGATTGTTAACAAACATTTATTAAATATGAAAAAAGGAAAAAATAAAAACTTTAGAAGTAAAATTTCTCCTATTTAAGATTAAAAAAATTTTTTTTCTACAGCTATAACAAGATAAAATTAAAATCAAACGTGATAATCAGAAGACGAAGATATATACTGTTTATATAATATCATCTTGTATTATATATTATATAATACAATTATATATTTCATTTTTTTCTTTAACTTTAAAATTATAGTACCAAAATCATGTTTCGTGATGCACACACAGAGGCGAACGTAATTCAATAGGCCGCAGTTTGTAAACACACAGCCGTTTTCGAGCCAGGCGGCTTCGAGTGTTTATCGGACACGATTATCATCGTCGTTGTCACGTCGGCAATCGGAACCATGGAATAAACATATCCTTGCAAGTATCTCAATAGGCTTTTGTTCCTCTTCGATAAAATACTACTCACGGTGTGTAGCAGATAATCGGTCGCGTTTCACAAAAATGTGCAGTAGGGATCAGATGCACACGTGCGAGAGATGCGAGAGATTACAGAATGAGATGGGATTGGTATCCCAAAAAAAAAGTAAACAAACGCGGTTTTCTCCTTGCAGCCAAGTGTATCGGTTTATTGACGCGAGCAATAAATGGAAATCTCCTCTACATCAAGAAGTTCTAGGAAAATATACGGATGTTAACGAGTCGAAAATAAATCGACAACAGAAATATTATAGCAGAGTAATTAATATACGCTCTTACGTTTGTGTTATGATTCGTATCTGTTATAGATAAGTTTCTACGAACAAACCACGCGCATTCAAATCTCTAAAAAAGCGATCGAATATGCCGATTAGATCGATTTAATAAATAATAAATATTCTAATGATAGATGCAAATGAAGAGTTATAAAAGAATTTTATATTTTATGCATTACGCTGTATTGTTATCAACGATACAAGAAACTTAATTCATATATTTTCGTGATTTTTATAATTTGATTGGGAAATTTGATTGTTATCTATATAATTTTAATTTTATGCCACATTTCATTCATTATTATTTAAAGAAAGAAAAAGTTAATAAAAATTTCCGATTTGTTCAGATGATTTCTTGAATTATTTTATTTTCTTTGAGGTTTGCCAAGTCTGTCTCCTTTCAGTTTTATTTTTTTTTACTTTCTAAGAAAATTTCAAAACGATGGAATGTTTTATTAGGTTTTTATATCATTATTTTCGAATAGTACTAAATAGTTTTTGATGACGAAAATTTCAACAAGAATAGACGAATTGTTCGACACTTCACAGATTTGTGGATTACTTATTATAACAATTACATTATAACAATTCTGTACATACAAGAAAAAGAAACAGGATCCTTTAAGTTTTTAACATACTGATAATTTAAACATCTTTCAAACGTATTTTTCTGTCAAAAATTATTAATCCTTTTTTTCTAAAGCACTTTTAGGTGAGTATATTTTCTGTATTTAATTTTCTTTATTTTTGCATTAAAAAATGAAATCATTATATATTTAAGACTTAAAGAACCCAGGAAACTATCGAAAATAAAGCAGGCATACCTAATTGAAAAAGTTCGTATATTTTTAACGCAAAAAAAATATATAGAAAGAAGATAGAAGAAATAAAACTCACTAATTTAAAAGACTAATTTAAAACTAAGAAATTCAATACAAATGCAAACAGATACAAGGTCTTTTTTCTCTATATTCTTCGAAGTTTACAGATACCTCTGCAAGACTTATTTTAAAATACTTTTCTAAGAGAGACATAAAGTTAAAACTTTTAACCCTGATGCGTTAGAGTTTGAGAGTTTGAAAGTATACCCGAATACATGTAGCTTAATTGTCCGTTTCTATCAATGTAGTTTAATTTTAATCTGATTTATATCTTAATTTTTTTTTCCGAATTTTAAGAATTAGAAAGAGGTAGAATAAATTAAACCAAGATTTAAGTAAGTCTACCTTGATAGAAATGGACATAATTTTCCATTCAAAAGCGAAACGAGAAGGCTGGATCATAAAAATACAAAAACAGTTAATAATTACAGCAATAGTTTAAAAGAATACTAATTATGATTCGCAAGTAATCGTTACGAGGATGAACTTTCGTCAGTCTGCAAAATTGTAAATATCGCGATACTCTTCCGTGAAACGCAGCGTGAACTCTCAACAATCGCATAAATATTTATAAACTTGGATCGACAGAATAAAAAATGTGGAACATACCAGTTGGTAGAGGCCTCATGTTGAGGGTGATGTCGAATAGCCGCTGGATTTCATCGTTCAAACTGGGGTTGAACGGGAACAGAGAATTTACTTCCAGCATCGGTAACATGTCGCACATGATTCGCTAGACGCACTTATTTATAAAAACTCGTAGCAAATTCGACGCAAATTTTGCGCGAGCTTCAGGCTTTAGATAATTACATGAACGTACGTGTCTGTTACACGTCGTTCCCGAAGAACAGGCTACTACTGACTGTGACCGTCAGAGTTACTGCCTGCGACTGTCGGCGCTGTTGAGGCACGGCCATGAAGATCTCTTACCCTTAAATTTGAAGAGAGGGGGTTGCTTTCTCTCCTGCTTGACCGGCGACATTTTAGAGAAGCCTTTCGTAGAACACATGAAAAAAAAAGGGGGGAAAAAAAGACAAGGCGATACCGTGTCGCACCGCGCCGCTTCAAAACGAAGCCGCCGGATTCGTGACGCCGCGGTGTGTTTACACGACCTCAGCGATGAGGAGCTGGATAAGTTTTTACTTCGTTTCTTGGAGTCCGACACTGACTCACATATGTGTATTAAGGAGTATTGGATTAGTATGTCAATAATAAGATCGATGAGAGGAAAGAGTCGGAAAGAAACAGGAGACAAATGTCCACGTCGAATATCATCTCGATCGTATCTTTAATTCTACGTTGAGTTTTGTATAATACTAAGGTATATGCGGATTATATTATTTTTTTAATACTTTCAAACAATCATATTTTATAACATTTTATATCACACGTATTCAACAATGTATTAGTTAGCAATCTGTCGTTTTTATTTTTGCTAAAAAACTTTGCTCACATCTACTTCTATAATTATGTAAATATATTTGAAATTTTTAATTTAATTTTTTTGTTTCGTTGTAAAAAATTACATTTTAAATCGAAAGCTTATTGAAAAAGTTATTCCGGAAATAAATTTACAATTAGTTTAGAGTATTTTTTAAACTTCTCTGTTTAGCTTCATTTTCTTATATAAATTATATAAATATCTATATATATATAATTTAACCATATTACGTTCATCTCTTATATTTTCAAGTTATCGTGTATCACATTTTATAATCAGTCTGTAAATGTAAAATCTGCATTAAACAAAGTATCTTTCATCATAATGTGAATACACGAATACATAACTAGGAAATGAAGTTTTAAACAGTTAAGCTGGATCTTTAGTGCTTAAATTCAGTGAATTTAATATACATATCCAATTCTACAAACTGTGTACCGAATTTAATTTTCAGTCTTAAAACACAATTCTAACAGAATTAGAATAGTATATCATAAATTGACAAGCGATTTAATGATATTCAGCTCATAGGCATTTTAGAAGAATATTTATGATCTGATGCTAATAAGCGTCTTAAAACCCGTAAATTTTATCGCGAAAAATATTACTTCGGCTGGAATTCAAATTTCGATTAAAATCTCTATTCACTGTCATGTATGTGATTTTCCATTTTTTATTTTTTTGAATTGTAATTTTATCAAATGTACCTGATTTCACAATGTTAACTAATTAATTATAAAGATCTAGGTTCACAAACAGCAGTATTACTAAGATTTTGACATTGGCTCTAATTTATATGTATATATATATATAT